TATAATACATAGCAACTTTCAACTAAATTGTTTTTTTGTTTGGCTTTACTCCTGCCTTTGCAATTTATTAACTCATAATTTTGAAGCTTATTATCTACGACTCTATTTCACCACGCGTTTTTTATCCTTAAATGGATGCGGAACTAATTTAGTTCTTTGTTTTCTTAAGTGAAAACTTACTTTATATGGGGTTATCGCCTGAACGATAATTCGTTTGATCTTCAAGCGGTTGTGAAGACTTTTAGCGACTTGGGGTAATCACTTTCGTGATAATTCGCTATTACTCCACGCGATTGTGAAGTCTTTAGTTTACGGCTGAAACGATGCTTGGGCATATCAATTGTTTTGGCTACTTTACCATGGAATTCTTTTATTTTCATCCGTTTCAGCCCTAATGTATAGGCTTCACTTGCGCAACAACTTCGGTTACTGTTTAGTTAAGCTTTAAAAAAAGCTTATTTCGTCATTTTATCGCAGATTTCTTTTTGCGTACGGACAAGTCCGCCCACGTCAAGTCCTCATGAAGAGTCCCTAAACATGGTTGTTATTTCATCGAAACTACTGCGCGATGTCTTAGCACCTAGCGCCAGAAAGGCACCCAGTGTTAGTCGACAAAGTCAACGTCGCTGAGTGATCCTGGTCTGGACTACAAGAGCTTTACACTAATAGCACTACACGCCACCGGCAAGAGGTAACGACTTTGTACCCGCCCGCTTGCTAGTGCTACGGTCTCTGTTATGAAGGAAATGTTCATGAACTTTTCACGACCGGACTACTACACACGGGATTCCGGTGACGATGTGTACTGAGGCATAACAAGCCTACTTGACTATCTCACTTTCACCAATGCGCAGTCTTCCACCTCGGACTCCTGTACTCTACTTTCGGATGACGATGTGTACTCAGGCATCACAAGCTCAAATGACAATCAAACACCTCAAGCATTGCACAATCATCCTTGAAATGAGCCATCAGGGTGGGTCGCGTTCACTTGACGACTCGTTTCGTTATCGTCGGCCTTGCCACCATGTACAACTTCGTGCAATGCTTTGTTCCAACAGATTAGCCTCAAAGACTCGATCTGCCTTCCCAAAGCACACAGTTATCCACAACAACTCAGCCTCGGGCCCTTTGTGTTCACACTATGGTATCTTTTCTGTGGTTCCCAAGTTGGTAACATTGTCAATACCTATATTTCGATGCGGTGACATCTCAGACTAAAGACGTTCATCTGCTATGACCACCAACTTACCCGGCCTTCCCGTGGCTTCATACCCGTCTCAGTTACACATTTAAGCTCACGTTCAGGCCGGTTTGAGGGTGCATATTTTGCACACTGACATGGAATTCTCCAGTCTTCTAACGGAAGTTGGTACACTTCATTTTGCGGATTCTAATACCGCCTTATCGCGAGTGCCGTTCACTTTTTTTTATTATTATGGAAACTTTTGCTCCTTCGTGAGTGCTATGTCTCCAATGGGGTACACTTCACCAGTGTTTAATTCTCGCTCGGAGTACAGCAACGTTCCTCCGCCCAGCTAAGCTTTCAACATCAGTGGCTCTCC